AAGACCCTCACACCCCTAACCCTTGAGAAAAAAAACCCCCAGGGGTGTTCAAACTTGACAGCTTTAAGACTTGTGGACTTCAACTCCCAGAATTCCTCCTCTCGCTCTTCATCTTGATGATGTGCAGGCGGGCGGGGGGAGGGAGCTGGATCCGGTTCTAAACGGCACTGTAGATTTGTGGAATCTTCTTCTATAGAAGAGGCTAGAACTGGCAGGAACCCACCCCTGATTCATACCCTATACAGAGCCATAATGTAGTTTATGTACTTTGGGCTCCTAAGAATGTGTGTACACTGCCAAAGTCTTGTTTATAACTTCACATGGTGTGTGGACGCAATCATTATAAGTATGTTTGCATTGCTTTGCTGATTTGGGCTCTTTCTGGCTGTAGATGGAGATGCGAAAAGCCCTGACTGATTTCGTTCAGGAAGAGGTCCAGACTCTAAAGGATCAGGCCGAGAGGCTGCATCAGACTTTCAAGCTACAGGCCTAGTGTCGACTAGACCAAGCAGCAGCTCTGTTACCGAAACATGGACTATCCACTCGTAGTCTACGGCAAGACATGCTGTCTATGCACAGACTACTTTTAACCCGTCGCTTTTAAGTTAAATTTTTATCCTTTCTCCACCTACCATCCACGCCCTGCTGCAGATGGAATGGCATTGCATGCAGAAGATTGGATGAAAGCTCCGATAACCCTTTGTCGACCTTCACGCTCTCCTGACTGTACTGGCTTTGGTGTCTGCCACCCGAAGGGAGGGACTTGCAATGACTACTGTATGTAGTTCGCTCTTGCTGGAACCTAGAGGTGTTGGGACAACGGCTGGTCGTGCAAGAACAGGAAGAGGAGGGGATGCGGGGAGCGGGAGGGGGGGGAACCCATCTCCATCCTGTTCTTGCAAATATCTCCGCTCATTGGAGGAATAGATAATGCATTTTGTACATTTCCTCTTTTTGTAGACTATTGGTTTGCAAATGGTTTTATACTTGAAAACTCTCCCCCCCCAACCCACTCCCCCAATAAATGATTCAGACCTGTTGCAGCCTGGGTTAAGCTCTGAAGTGCCAGGGACGAAAGCTTTCTGCACAGAATTCAGGTTTCTTCAGGGTGGAGTGTTACTACTGCAATGCGCTCTACATGGGGCAGCCCTTGAAGAGCATTCGGAGACTTCAACTTGTCCAGAATGCAGCC